AAAAAAAGGGGCAGGGTTTTAGGCAGCTATTGAAGGGAGAACTTCCTGCATCAGGCAATCCTCCAACCAGACCCAAGGGCATGGCAGCTTTGTTGCCAGTTACCCCTTGTATATTGCAACCTGTGTCCTTGTAGTACCAAGCTCCTCTGGGGCTCAGAAACACAACTGCCTTCTGCAGAGAAGCTGAGGCTGTGACTGCCCCAGCAGCCTAAGATTCTGGGAGAAACCTTCCCTGGGCTGAGCCTATATTCATTACTTCCCACAAGTGCAGCACATTTCTGCCTGGCACAGCCCGCTGACAAAACTGATGTTGGAATCTACCCTGGGTCTCCCAGCCTCTATAGATCCTACTCCTAAAATTAGTTCTTCTCAAGAGAGTCAGGAATAAAGCCACAGAAGTGAGGCTTAGCAAGAACCAGGGACTAGTCCTCATCTGGTGGAGATGCTCATCTCTGCATTGACTGCAATGGCACAATGACAAGTTATAGCAGATGAGGCTGCCCAGTCCCTACAGGCTAATCCTGCCCGTGATTCCCTAGGTAGAAATGGGCACATTACTGGAATCTTTCAGCTTGTTCTCCTTTGTATCCAGGGATAACAGTCCCTGCCTCTCAGAAGTGCTGTGAGAGTAATGCGTTAAAATGTTTTCCAAGCACTCTGAAGCAGTACATACTACTACTACTACTACTACTACTACTACTACTATGCTTAAAATGAAGACTCAAATGATTAAATGTTATCATGTAGCAGGTTGAGTACTGTTGCAGTGCTCAGGGTGCTGTCTATTCTGAATATGATAGAGAGAGAGAGGAAATGAACAGTTACAGCATATATTTACATTACTAGTTCAGTGGATCCTTGGCTTGATGTTGGAATTCTTGCTTTCCAGAAAGGGCATGCAGTTTGGTCAAACAGGAGTGCAAGACCCTGTTAAATCCAGCCCTTGCATTCTGACTCCGGAGTGAATGAGGTGGAATAAAAAAAGACTGAGTTCTGAGAGAGTGCATTTCTTCACATACTTTTAAAAGATCTTTATGAACACATTCATGCCTTGGAAGAGTACAGGGATTTAGGAGAGTGTTGGGATGGTGCTTGTTGCATACGCATTTTTGGCAGCTTGGGAAACATAATCCTGATCTCGTGTGTCTCCTCAGCAGTCTAATTACAACGGGATAACTGCTGACATAACTGGAGGGACATCTTAGGAAATAACTTGAGGAGCCTCCCTGTGCATGAGACAATAAGCACCCTGAGTTAAACAAATGCCTGTGACCAAAGACATGATTGGTGGGAGGTATAAAAGGAAGAGGAAGGTAAAAGCTTTACTGCTACAAAGCTAAACAGCAAATTGTTCTTTGGTGTTATGGAAAAAAAGAAAAGGAGTGGTATCCTGGGGCTTGGGGATTAGGGAACACAACAACCAGTGGCAACGTGTAGGGGATGGACGGGGTGCACGTGCACCCCCTGAAAGCGCCGGTGTACCCCCTGACAGGTCGCACGGGGGGGGCAGGTGGGAGTACTTGTGTCCCCCTTGCAAGTGCCGGCTGATTGCTGCAGCCGCTCCCAGAAGTGGCCGCAGGGATCAGCTGCGGGCAGCAAGAATGGCCGTGATCACCACCCCCACCTCCTCCGGCTGGCAGGATTGGCCGTGGGGGGGACACCCCCCCCCGGTCAGCGGGACTGGTTGCAGGGGGGGACGTACCCCCCCCCCCGACCAAGGTGGCCCCCGTTGCCCGGGCTGATGGGTTGCTGACTGGTTGCTGGGGTGGCTTCCCCCCCCCCCCCGACTAAGGTGGCACCAGTTGCCTGTGACAACAGAGAGCAGGGAGCAAAAAACAGAACAACAGATAAGACTGGGAGCTTTGGCAGGGAGCAGAAAGCAAAGAAACAGATTGAGCAGGGGAAGGAGATTGGAGTAGCTTACCTTGTGGCTTGCTTGCCAAAAGGGTTAGCCTCCTGGAGCAGGGAATGGGATGAGAAGCTGAAGGAAAGGCATACTTTCTTCGTGCAACTGGACAGAAGTTGAGAGCTACAGTGAATAGTGGTTAAAGGGATTTGCAATGTGTATAGTAGAGGAAAGGCAGATCCCTATACTCTGGCTGGCAAGACTTTGTGACAGGCTAGTCAAAGCCCTAGGATTTGTAAAGTATAGTTACTGAGAAATAAGCATGTGATATACAAGCTCCAGGACTCTAAGAAGCCTAGACTGGACATTAGCCATGACTACAGAGACATAACAGTACAGTTCTGGGTCAGTGACTGTCCTAC